GCAATAGCTGTGAGGTTTGGCAGGGCCGGGGCGGGGAAAGGTGAAGATTTGTCATAAAGAGATGGCCGTGCCCGGCTGGCGTGGCTCAGCAGTTGCCCATCGACCTATGAACCAGGAGATAGCGGTTTGATTCCAGGTCAGGGCACATGCCCGGGTCTTACACTCGATCCCCAGCAGGGGGCGTGCAGGAGGCAGCTGATCAGTGACTCTCATCATTGATGTTTCTCTCTCTCCCTCTCCCTTCCTCTCTGAAATCAATAAAAGAAAAGAGAAAGAGAGAGCGAGAGCCACGTGGGGTGGAGAGGGAAGAGGGGCTCTCCACCAAGGGTCTGCCATTACTCCACTGAAGCACAACCCAAGTTCAATTGTCTCCCACCTCATTTATGTACCTAAGCTTATCATTTCGGTGTTATAAAAGCAAGCAATCTGTGCATTACCTTGGATTTCCTCCTTTTTTTCATCTCCTATCAGTTAAGAAATCATATTGATTTTTCCTTTGAACCATACCTTCTATTTCTTTTCTTTTTTTAATATATCTTTCTTGATTTCAGAGAGAGGAAGGGAGAGGGAGAGAGAGAGAGAAACATCAGTGATGAGAGTAATCGATCGGCTGCCTCCTGCACGCTCCCCACTGGGAATCGAGCCCGCAACCCAGGCCTGTGCCCTGACCGGGAATCGAACCGTGATCTCCTGGGTCTCAGGTCGATGCTCAACCACCGAGCCACACCGGCCGGCCGTACCTTCCATTTCTTGTTTCTCTCTACCTCTACACTCCTGACCCTACCCGTCTCATCCCTCATCACTGGACTGCTGCTGGGCGCCACAACCGGGGTGAGACGAGGGAGCACTCACATGGGACAAAACTTCAGCGGTGCCCCACAATTCAGTAATCGAGCTCAATAATGTCTTAAGGCAACGTTTTTAAAAATGAAAATGAATGCAAAGGTATTATAAAAAATAAAAAAGTTAAGTAAAGTTTGTATCAGTGCTGATGTTTCTTTTTTGCCTCAGTTTCCAGTGTGGCTCTGCCGGACACTGCCCCGCCTATGTCAGCCTCCCCACATTCTGCTCCTGCCCAGTCCCTCAAACGAGGCTGATCTAGAACTTACTAATTCACCACGTCACTTCCTCTAATACAACCTCTTGAAGCCAAATTCCTGTCTGGAGTTCACCGTCCTCATTCCTGTGATCTCCCCGCCCGTCGCTCCAGCTGTCGCCTTTCCTGATCTCCTGCACCTGAGCACCCGGTTGCCCCCGGAGCGCAGCTCCCTCATGCCTGTCACCACCCGACAACACAGCCTTTGTCTCTGTCTCACCTGTCTGAACCTTTCCTGCCCTTCCTTACACAATGGTACCTGACCCTTTCCACTGGGACGTGTGTCACCTTTTCCTCTGCAGGCCCTTCACCAAATGTTTTAGGCTAAATACTACTCAACCCTTCAGTTATTACCTCGAGGTGCTTCCTCCAGCAAATCTCACCTGCTGCTGGCCCCTCCCCCTTCCCAGCAGCTCTCAGCCCATCACACCCCTCACTGTAATACCCGGTGTCACTGTCTGTATGCTCCTAAGGACCAAGTTCGTTTCTTGCTCATATTGTATTCTTAGCATCTAACCTAACACTTGGCATGCTATGGATTTGTCCCACGAATGCACATGGCCAAAAGTCACCTGCTAGCTACCATGGGACAGCAGCCACCCGTCTCCAGCAGTCTGTTCTAGAGCCACATAGCTCCGTGTTGCACAGAGAGGAGAAGAGCCTGAAACCAGATGGACCAGGGTCGGACTTTGATTTCATTAGCTGTGTGGCCTTTGGAAACGTACTTGCCCCCTTAAAGCTTCAGTTTGTTCTTCTATAAAATGGAGATTAAAAAATACTAATCTTGCACAGTCGCGATGAGGGTTACTGAGACCACCTCTCACATGCTCAGCCAGCTGGCATCGCGCTGGTGTGGGGTGTACTTTAGTTTATTTCAGTGATGGCCTGCGGCCTGAATGAGTGAGGACCTGTCAGACGCTTTTCTTAAAACTGTGCCAGAGACTGGAGTGTCGCTTGCATCTCACGGAGTCACCTCCAGTTGCAGCCAGGAAGGGAGGGCGTCCACAAAGACACAGGGACTTGTTTTAGGTGGTGCCTTTATAATCTGAGCTGAGCTGCCCAGATTTCTGACTTGCTAATAACCTGCGTCTTTCTCCTCAACTGCGACAGTTTCACAATGAATTGGAACTGGCTGTGTGGTTTTCCTAAGTAAAAATGTCATTTTCATACGCTATGAAATAGTTATTAGGTCAGTTTGCGAAATGTCTACTGAATTGGCAGGTGTCTAGATGACCACGGTCACGGGATCCCAGGAGACCGGCAAGCAAAGATGTTTGTGGTTCATGGCAGGCTGGGTGCATTGTCTCTTTGTTCTAAAAAAATAGATTTCTCTGGATCCACTGAGGACAGCTAAACACAAAATGAGTCTTAAAAATAGAGTTCCCCTGATAAAATAATAAATGAACTATCCCTGACAATAGGAGCCTAGTTCGGTGGCAGGACAGACTCTATAAAAAAAAGCCAGCCACATAAACTCGGGCTGGTGGTGCATGTGGCTGTTAGAGACTGGAGTTGACTCTCCACACAGCCACACTGCCGTGCCCAGATCTGCACCTCCCTGCTCTGTCCCCAACCCACTACCTCCCCCCATCTCCCATCTCTCCCCTGCACACTGCACCCAGCTCTTTGCACACCACACCTGGCCTCCAGCAGTCTTTCCTTAGCAGAAAAAGCCTGAAGTTTTAAATCTGAATTCAAGTTCTTCTCAGGTTCCCACCACCCTAGCAGGCCCTGTGACAAACTACCCACCGCCTATCTACCTGGATCCTACTTGCACTACCTACGGCCATCTCACAAAGATCTGGCTGATGGAAGCCACGCACACACCGTCCCCAAAGGAGACAGGCCAGGCGACTTAGAGTTTTCTTTTATACCATAGAATAAAAATGTCCCCCTTCAAGACCCTATTCCTACAACTCTGATTCTTGACATTGAGTTTTGAGAAAGACTCCAGAGAAATATAAAAATATGGGGGTAGACAGATATCAAGAGCACACAGCTAGTCTAGAAAATGTGGTTCACATGATTTGTTGTCAAGTATTGTTGGATTCCTGCTGTTCTTGGGAATTCAAAAGAAAACCTTAAAGCCGTTGCTTTAGGAACTTAACAATATTAAACTACAATGTCAGCAATTAAGGAAATGTGTTTCAATAGGGTGTTCTTGCTGATGATTTCTCTAAAGCTCTTCGTCTCAAACACAAACAGCTAGCTGAATTGACATCACTTCATTTCTATTCTGTGGTTCTCACCAGAACCTCTTGGTAACAGAGATTCCTCTGATACACAATAACTCCGGGCAACTGCACTCGGCCCAAGGATGTTATTACAGTCTCAGCACCCTTAGCTCAGTTGGCAGATGAAGAGCCCTAAAGAACACTTCATCTGGCCCTAGTTTGAATGATGGTATGAATATTATGAAAAGTATGGTTGGAATTAATGTGCACAAGACCTCTTTCAATATTTTGGGTTTGACTGTCATTTTTCTCTGTGCCAATATACTCTGTTCTGCTATTTTTACTGAGCTTAAGTAAATGGACAACTGCAAAATGAAGCAGAGAGCGGAGACAGCGAATGACTGAATCTAACACCCTAGGACTGAGTTCTTGTGCGCAGCCCAAAGGGAGACGGGGCACCAGAGGGTCTCCAGTTACAGGGTCCAGCTGAGGGTGAGCAAGCTGCTCCGGGGGTGATAACACCACGAAGGGGAGAGTGGCACCTTCCCATCAGTAGATTTAATCATGTCCATTCTAGCAGAACTGGGTTTTCTTAATGGGTTTTATGGAGCAGGAGAAAGAGAGAAAGGGCAAACGAGAGAAAAGAGAGTTGAGGGCGGGCCAGTGTAGATTAGATTCCTGGTCTCAGGGCGTCTGCTTGCCATGAATCTTCTGCTTCTTTTGTGCCTTAATTTTTAATCCTCTTGCCCATCTCAGGAATGGTAAGGCTCTCTTGGATTAAAGGAATGTCTACCTTAAATCAGGCTTCTCTCATGCACTACTTACTACATGCATTTCGTATAATGCATATTTTCAACACATAAATGTCACATTTTCTTTTGCTTTATGTATAATTTTCTTGCACGTATTATTTCACTTAATCTTCCTACCTTATTAGGTAAGTATTACCATCTCCACCTTACAATTGAGTAAGCTGAGGTTTAGATAAAGGAGCAGGCCCAGTTCCCTCACCCACCCCTGTTAGTAAATGGTGAAGCTTCAAGGAACAGGGTCTTTAACTCCGCACGATATGGCTCCTACGTAGCACATTTGTCGCAGAGGGTACTGGGTGGGTAGTGAATTTTATGGATTTCATAAAGCTCATAAGAGAGAGGCACAAGTCCCCAAATGTTGGAGAAAATGAAAATTCCTGCCTAGCAATCAACGTCATTAATACCTATAGGCACTGGTTAACTGGAAAAGGAGTGATTTTTATTATGTGGGCCCATTTTTTTGGCTTTTTTTTTTCCTTTGGCATTTATCACCTATTGATTCTATGATATTGGACTAAGTCTTATAAGAATATCCTTTCATGGTATTTTTACAGCGTAAGAAAACATAAAAAACCAAGAGCCAGGATTACAGAAATTAAAAATGACCAAAATTCTCCCTTGCTGTTTACAATGGGATCTTACTTGAAAATTAGAAAAGGTAGTCTTGAAATGCTTGAAGAAATGGATGAAAAGGAATATATACACAGTCTAAGTCAGAACCACTTCCTATTCCCTGTGCCTTCTTTTTTTTTTTTTTTTTGATGGTGGGGGATTGTGATCAATAATTGGTTCCATTCTGTTAACATTTATGAATGATTCCTACTTACACGTGCTTGGATGATGTGAAGTAGTTTTCCATTAGGGCTGAACTACAGAGATTTTCCTCTTAATATATTTCCTTTTTCCCTCTGGTTACAGAGGCAGGGAACTATCAACTCTTATGAAGATCCTCAAATGGCCTGTGGTTTCCAGTCCAATTACCACCCGCAAAGAGCTTGCTATCCCTTCTGGGAAGAGATGGCCACTCAGGAAGTTCCTACTGGTCTTGAACACTGTGGCTCAGGTAGGAACCTAAACAGAGGCTGAGTGAGAAGAGGGTTGGAGCCCAATGGAAATGGGCTGAGGGCTGCACTCTCTGAAATAACAGCTGCTGATCTTATGTGGGCACGGATGCTACTGTTCACCCCTGAGTCTCCTCAACAATTCGAGTTGCTTTATCCGCCAGTGACAGGAAAACTGAACTCTAGGAGTGGACCCAAGTAAGGAGAGGTGGCCTTAGGTCTTCGTTTTGTAAATGGTTCTGTCTCCTGTGCATTTCCTGCGGCTTATCCGTTGCAGCCTGGCTGTTGACAAAGGGCCTAGAAGAGGCGCAGTCACAAAGGATGCCTGGATAAGCAGCCTTCTTACAGAACACGATTTCCTTCATCTGTCCTCTCTCCGTTATCGCCTCGCTCTCTGCTCATGCCCCCCTGCGCCCCGCTTCTTCCTCCAGCCGCCTCTCCCTCCCCAGCCTTGGCACAAGCTCCTGTCCTCTGGGCATTCCAGGTTCTCCCGACGGGCAGGTCACAGTGCTGCCCCCTGGTGAGCAGGAGGCGCACTGCTCCAGAGAACCCCAATGGGGGAAGCTCCAAGCCTCCACCCCAGTTCCATCCTGCAGGACTCGCTCACTGTGTTTCTCACAAAATCAATTAGCCTTTGTTTACCTGCTACCTTTTTGGGGTTTATTTTAAGTACAAAATGTAAAACCTGAATTTGGGGATTCGGAAATGATTGATTCAGAAGTTAAGTTCAATGTTTCATGAAAGCAGGTTATGATAATATATCCAAATATCAAAAATCCAGTAAAAAAATCTGTGTTTTATTCCCAGGATAAATTCTTAGCCGAAGAAATTTCATTACTCTTATTTATTGAAAATGTAATTCTGAGGAGTTTAATAGGGGGAAAGTTGCTGGAAATGAACTAAAAGGCAAATTTTTTGCTCAGTGTCTCTTTACCCCACAACACTGTATGGTAAACTACTTGCATAACAGTGGCGATTAAGATAACTGTTTGCTTTGTTGCCCACGCTTTATCTTTCACCAGGAACACACACAGGCACAGAGCAAGATGCTGTAACACGTGGTGGGGGTTGGAAGGAAGGCATGGGCCTTGCTTCCCAGTTGCCTGCTTCTTCTCGGAGCAGAATGGAGCCAATTACTGTGTCCCATGTTTTCTTGACTCAGTGGGGATTGATCTCTGAGGTATTGTTTGGTGTCACCCTGGGCTTGAGACATGATAACACTAATGCTGTCACTTTCTGCTTGGTATCTCAGTCCTCCAAGCATAAATACCAACGTTTCAGCTGTCTACATGCTCCAAGAGGAGACAGGGAGGATTCTGCAACTGTTCACAGGTTAGACTTAAAGACTTAACACTTTAAGAGACGACAAAAGGGATCCTTTGAAATTCTCAACATAATAGATGCTATTTGTATAAAATGAAGATAAAGATGATTGTTTCTATATTAGTCTAACTCTTGAATCCTTTTAATACCAGTAAGTTTAAGTCTTGTGGCCACCAGTTCAAGAGAGATTAAAGTTATCTTGCCTGTACTTTCAGTTCAGGTTGGAGCTTCTGCTTGCTGCAGGCTACATCTTATTAATAGCTGAGCTCACCTCCACACGCGCCCTCAGCCTCAAGGTCAGAATGCATCCGCACAGCAAAAAGACATGGCCCTTCTCTTTCTTACCGGAGAAGCGCATCAATTCCCAAGTGAAGATGACTTTTCATGTCCCCTTGTCAAGGTTCTCAAAGGTAAAAGAGCTTTCATTTCAGGGGCAATGAGACAGTGTCTGTGGAGAACCTCTCAGGACGAAGCCACTTTAAAAAGTAAGGACTTAGCCCTGGCTGGAGGGGCTCAGTGGTTAGAGCATTGGCCTGCCCAAGGTTCTCAGGCTCGATCCCTAGTCAAGCGCACATACCCGGGTTGCAGGTTCGATCCCCAGCCCTGGTTGGGGTGTGTATGGGAGGCAGCTAATTGATCTGTCTCACATTGGTGTTTCTCTCTTCCCCTCCCTCCCTTCCACTCTCTCGAAAAATCAATGGAAAAAATATCCCCGGGTCAGGATTAATAACAACAACAAAAAGTAAGGACTTATAGCAGTGTCATGTAGCTTTCTACGTCATACACAGGAGTTGGCTGCATTCTGCCCTGAGTAGAACCAGGCACCTGGAAAGCAACTCCCCTGCCTTCCTTCCAACCCCCACCAAGGGTTACAGCATCTTGCTCTGTGCCTGTGTGTGTTCCTGGTGAAAGATGAAGCATGGATAACAAAAAAAAATATTTACTTTCTATCTCTACTACTATACAAGTAGTTTACCATACTCTTTTGTGGGGTCAAGAGACACTGAACTCTTCCCCCAAGTCTACACTATTGTTGCAAGAAGAAAGATGCTGGGGTCACTCAGACTAGCGCTGTATGTGTAGGCTGGGAAGGTGGGGGCCCATATGACCAGTCCTCAGATGACCTAGGCTGCCATCAACTGTAGCTCAGAAAGGCTAGTACCCTCCACGGGGGAAGTGGTGCCCCAGTGGCCAATGTGGTGTCTGCAGTGCCCTCTGCCTTAGGCTTCCTCTGGTGGAAATATCTGGCAAAAACCCTGAGCATTTCCAGCCCCTCCTTTGCCTTTACGCTGTCCAGATGAAGGAGCTGCAGTGATTATTTCTGGGCTGTGGTCCAGCCCTCCTCGGTGATGGGTGTCCTTTGGAAGGAGATCGTGGGGTTATAGGGGAGGGAGATGAAGACATGGACCCAACAACGATTTCTCCAGCTGCAGCACATTTCCTTGGAGTTGCGTTGAGTAAGAAGAACGAGGGGGGGAAAAAAATACTCTACATGGTTTTCATCTTATTTTATCCTATTTATAATTCCAGTTTCCTTCCCATCCTCTGTCTCATGGCCACTCACCACCCCCACCCGGTCTCACAATCTGTGCTCGCAGAAGGGATGAATGAACTTTTTCCCCAAGTACTACACATCTGTCAGTGACTGGAGTCCCCAGCAGGAGGGGCCCTGGAGGAAGGCCCAGGCCCCTTCCTCTGAACGTCCCTCCTCTCCACAAAGGGACAGAGGCTGAGGAGGGCAGGAGCAAGGGACAGGGCAAAGCTGAGAGGGAGCGTGAAGGGGGGAGAGCCTTTCCAAGTGAGTGGGCGGGAGTGCTCGGCAGCCAAGATGAGTCAGGGAGCCCTGAGATAGTAGGGACGTGTGGAACCGGACCGAGAGGAAAGGTGTGTGTCAGCGGAGAGGTGGAGGGCACTGAGAAGAGAAGCCAGAAGATGAACGGCATGGGGGGGGAAGAAGGGTAGCTCAGAAAAAGACAAGTCAAGGTGGTGGTGGGGGGTGGGGGAGATGCCATGAAAGAGAACACATGAATCTGAGGACATTAACTATGCAGCTAAAAAGGGAAGGCACATTTGCATGCAGTCGCCTGTGCAGCTGTACCGAGCTTCGTGACAATCTTGCAGTCATCATTTTCTTTCATTTCTACCTCCTCCTGTCTGCCTCTCCCCCCTCCTCCCTGGCAGCCTGGAGCCATTAGCGAGAGCCAATGGGGACTGCGAGCTGGCCTTGTGCGGGAATGAATGGGCCCTTTCTGTCCTCGCTGCTCTCATCCCTCTGTCGGGGAGCCTTGCGAATCAATGGAGCCCCTTACACAAGAGATGGCTGAAAGGTCTGTTACTGTTTATAGTCTGACCGGAGCGAGCCCGCTGGCCCTGCCTCCTCTCTGTTCCCTTCCTCTATTCTGTCCCCCAAGCTCAGCCCTTTCTCTCAGTCATTACAGCAAGATTCTTTTTTTTTTTTTTAAAGTCAATCTCTTGCTCCTTGCCTCTAAGAACTCACTAACATTTCACAGCCATTAAATATTATGACTAGTTCCCATTCACAGCCCTGTTGGAAGGGCGGGGTAGATGGAAGCAATTTTTAGATAGAGGCAGTGAGCTCAGAATGGTCCCCAGATCCAGCTGGAGTCATTCAATAGGCACTGGGAACTAGAAAATGACACCAGAGATCCAACTGAGCACTCAGGCCATAGGACCACAGTTGTCCCATCCACTGATAACTGCCCGTGTTTGGTTTTAACCTGACAGTCTTGATGATCACGAATGACAGTGATGTGTAGCAGAAAATATGGTGCTTACCTGAGTGATATACTATCAAATTATTTTTTGTTTCAGGGATGAATCTCTTTTGAATCAGCCAAAGTTATGGATGTGATGTTGTGTCCAAAGTTCTCTTTTACAAAATAGTTGCTTCGAGCTGGAAAGCAGTCTGCAACTATAGACCACAGTAAACCAGTTTACCCTCAGGGCATGAACCTGTGTTTTCATTACCATGGTCCTTGATTTGGGAAATAAGATAAAACTTTTTTCTTCTTCTTGTATAATGCAACTTGGTATGTTTTTGATCACTGAACATAGTAAAAACCTCATATACCCACATTCACATCCTAATCTCCATTTGTCATTCTTCATGAGAAAGGAAGTTTATACCATACAAAGGTAAAGAGTCCAGGCTCTGGAAACAGATTGCTTGAGATTTTTTCAAGTTAATTTTAAATTACAGTTGACATGCAATATTATATTAGTTTCTGGTATACAACATAGTGATTGGACATTTATATAACTTATAAAGTGATCACCCCAATAAGTCTATTAAGCATTTGACACCATGCATAGTTACAGTATTTATTATTGGCTATATTCCCTATGCTGTAATTTATTGCTTTTATATCTGGCAATTTGTACTTGTACATCAGCTCTCCCTGTGTGACCTTAGGCAACTCACTTAACCTCTGTAATTCAGTTTCCTCATCTACACCAGGGTTTCTCAGAGTGTCAGAATCACCTGGAAGGCTTGTTATAACAGGTTGCGGGCTTCCATCCCCAGGGTTTCTGACTCAGTGAGGCTAGGGTACACCTCAGCAATTTGCATTTCTCACCAGTCCTGCTGGTTCAGAGACCACACTTTGAGAACCGCTAAGTTAGTATATGTCAAGCTTAAAGCAGGGTTGTTGCTTAGCAA